GATAAAACCAATGTAGATCTCTATTTATAGTGTTAGAATTTTAAACAATAATAGTAAATTGCTATATCCTAATATAACACTTTCCATTTTTCTTTGTTTGCCTTTTTTCATGATTTTCTATTTAGTTTAATTTTCTTTATTGCGTGATTTTTCTTTTATTTTTTTTCTTTTTCTTTCCTTTCTATCATTTTCCTTTTTGCTTAATATTTCTTTTAAAACGGTCTTGATATTATCCAAAAGTCTAAACCACCATATATTCCCTCCGTTTTATAAAGATTTTCATTCTAGAGTTGTTTTTTTTTTGTTTAAAAAAGAATGTCATTCTATATTTTCAAAATGACTTTTCACACTTATCCTATTTTCAAAATGACTTTTCAATTTTATCCTTAATTTAATACTAATAAAGTTTGTATTTGAATCATTAAATAATATCTTATTATATAAAAGAGAATGCGTGCGATGAGAACTTGACACGTAAGCAAAATTCTTATTCACCAGATCGTGACATATGGATAATATTGATCAGATGATGACACGTATCAATATATTTTAGAGGCAATTACAAAAATACCACTTTTTGTGTGCATATTTGCAAGAAAATACCATTTAGGGGTGTCCATTTACAAAAATGCCACTAATTATAGATTTATAAAGCCTATATCTTAAAATTCTAAACCCTAAAAAATGTTTTGACACCTAAAATCCCCTAAACACTCAAAACTAAACCATAATAGAACATAATTAACCCAAAAATAAATAATATAAAGAAAAAATAATTTTGAAAAAATGGTATTTTTGTAAAGATTTCAAAAATATGGCATTTTTGTAAAGTGGCACTTGAAAAGTGGCATTTTTTGAAATTTCTCTATATTTTAATCTCCTAAAATAATTTAAAAAATAGATTAAAAATGGAAATGTTTAAAACATGTCCTTATAAAAAATACAAAACGTAAAATACAAAATTTTCTGTAAAACGTGACTTTCAAAAAAATCATAACATCTTATGATATAAAGCTTCC